GAGGGTGAGCCTGTCTCCACCCCAGTGAAGCAGCCACCTCTGCCCCCTCCCATCCCCCCCACAGCCCCCACTTCCTGGACTCTGCCCCCAGGACCCCTGCTGGGTGTGTTGCCAGTGGTGGGGGTGGTCCGCCCTGCTCCACCCCCACCCCCCCCTCCACTGACACTGGTGTTAAGCAGTGGGCCCTCCAGCCCGCCCCGCCAGGCCATCCGTGTCAAGCGGGTGTCCACCTTCTCTGGCCGTAACCCATCAGCGCCTCCCCCGAGCAAGACCCCCCGGCTGGAGGAAGATGGAGAGGTCTTGGAGGATCCCCCCCAGGGTCCAGGGCTTGGTGGAAGCGGGTGAGTGAGTATGCTGAGGCTATGGAGGCAGGCAAGGGAGTTGGACAGGAGAAGGCAGCTCAGGCTTCACGTGGTTCCCCTCACCGCCAGGTTTAGCCGAGTGAGGATGAAAACGCCCACAGTGCGTGGAGTTCTCGACCTGGATGACCCTGGGGAGCCCACTGGAGAGGAAAGCCCGAGGTGAGTGGCCAATTCCCTTCCTGGAGGCTCTGGGATCGCTGTCCCCATCCCTCTTCTGACAGGTCTCTCCTCACAGGCCCCTCCAGGACCGGTCCCCTCTGCTGCCACTTCCAGAAGGTGGTCCTTCCCAGGCTCCCGATGGTCCCCCCGACCTGCTGCTTGAGTCCCAGTGGCACCACTACTCAGGTAGGGACCAGCCTTTCCCTCTTTCTGCCTCCTTCCCTGTGCTTGCTCAGCTGAGTAACTGACAGATACAGTGGAGAGTTGATCCACTTCAAAAAAGTGGATGGAAAAGGAAGTGAGAGGAGACATGGTGGCTGGGTTGAATAGGACACCTCTAAGATGAAAGAAAGGTAAGGTTAAGTGTACCTGCAGACATCAGCACACAGAATGGGGGCACTTGGAATAGTTTGGCTGACAGACTCAGTGAAGCTAGAAGCAAAGTGCTCTGTTGGTCAGGGAAGGCCGAGAGCGAGCGAGCCATAGCCAAGTAAGCTGGTAATCCAGCAGCCTGAGGCTTAGACCCCAACCTTGTCACAGTATGTGGATTTTCCCATTATGTACAGTAGAGCACAGCTGCTGAACGTGGAAGTAAAGTGAGGTGGACTGAGACTGCTCAACTGAAAGACTGCGTATGGGGTCAGAGAGGGCATGAGGATGTAGCAGTGACAGTGACAGTGACAGGTTCCTGCCTGCCTTTAGGGAGCATACCACATTTTGGCAAAGGAAATAGACATTTACATTAGCAAATGCACTGCAGCTTAGATTGAGCACTGAGAAAGCAGGCAATGAGAGAGCGTCCAGGTGAGGCCTCTGTAGTCAGCCTGTTGTGTTCAGGGGACAGAATGGAGGTGAGGATGGGAGAGGGCTAAGAAGAGGTGGAAGAAGTTATCAGAGGTGGACCCAGGGGCACTGAGGCCTAGAGATGACGTGGGTCACATAGCAAGAGTTAGGTTGAGAGTCTTCCTTAGTGATGTGGGAAGAAAGGGTGGTCATGTGAGTCCTGCCTTCCCTAAAGAGTGCTCCACGCAAACTTACCATTATTCCCAGTCCACCCAGTGTTCAGTCCTCAGTCCACACCCTGCTTGAACCAGCAGCATTTGGTGTGCTGATCCCTCCCTCCCGTTCCCAGCTTCTAGAACCGCACCCCTCTCCTCTCTGGTTTTGCCTCCTCATTGTCACAGCCTGTCAACTTTGGCATGTCCCAGGTGCTCTTGTCTAACTTCATTGCCCTAAATCGCATCTCTGATTCTGATAGCCCCCAAATTGCTAGCCACACTCCTTTATCCTAGTGTCTGCTTCCCATCTCCACCAGCAAGATGCCAGGGGAGTTTTTCTAAGAGGAATCTCAGATCCACATGTCCCAAACAGAGCTGTTGACCTTACCTCACACTTGTTTCTCCCCCACGCTCACGATCTCTGTCAGTGGCAGTTTTATCCTTTCAGTTGTTCAGGCCCCAAACCTCGGATTTGTCCTTAACCCTCACCCCCCTCCTTTCTCTCACATCCACATCTCCTACATCAGCAAGTCTTGTCTGCTCTATCTTTAAAATCTTAAGCCCTGAGAAATCCCTTAAATTGCTCAGAATGTACATGTATTTGATCTGTGAGTATGGGGCTATATAATCATATATTTGTAATATTTACAGAAATATACTGCATATAAAAATGTACATGTACAAAATAATATAATTCTCCAATATTTTTTATTTTGTGTGAAACAGAAGAATGAGGGGTCGATAGGCATTTATGGTAGGCTGGGTTTGAGTGAGCCATAGTGTGTCCTTACAGGGCTAAAGCACTCCAAGCCTCTGTGGAACTGCCCATCTAGCCAAGAAGTCCTGCAGAAAAGGAACTGCAGACCCCTTAAAAAAAATAATGCCCGGTCTGGTCTGTAGGGTTCGCTGGGCAATTAGAGCAGGGGGAGGCCTTCAGACCCAGTGTTTATGCTTGTGCCCAAGGAGGGAGAGTGGGCAACGGAGACCTGGGGCTTTTGACTCCAGGAGGGGTGATGCTCACTTACCCTGACCTGCTCCCTGGGACCAGGTGAGGCTTCAAGCTCTGAGGAAGAGCCTTCATCCCCAGAGGATAAAGAGAACCAGGCCCCAAAACGGGCTGGCCCGCATCTGCGCTTTGAGATCAGCAGTGAGGATGGGTTCAGCGTGGAGGCAGAGAGCTTGGAGGGTGAGTCAGGAGTGTCCGTGACCGGGAGGGAAGGTGTCCCATACAATACCATCCTGACTCTGCTCTGGCCCTTCTCTCTCCTCAGGGGCATGGAGAGCTCTGATTGAGAAGGTGCAGGAGGCCCGAGGGCATGCCCGGCTTAGACATCTCTCCTTTAGTGGTAAGTGGGGAGGACACAGGGATGCTGGGGCCTGGAATGACTCCCCAAGGGCATGATGGGCCTCTGACATGACTTTTGACTCTCCCCAGGAATGAGTGGGGCAAGGCTCCTGGGCATCCACCACGACGCTGTCATCTTCCTGGCAGAGCAGCTGCCTGGGGCCCAACGCTGCCAACATTATAAGTTCCGCTACCACCAGCAGGGAGAGGGTCAGGAGGAGCCACCTCTGAACCCCCATGGGGCAGCCCGTGCCGAAGTCTATCTCCGGTGAGAGGTCTGGGGTGTGATACTTGGGTTAGGGAGCCCTATGGGGAGTCCTTGAGGGTGAGAATTAAGTCTGTACAAATTAGAAATTGAGGCCCAGGGAGAAGACACTAGGCCATTCCAGGAATGATTTCTGGAGTTCATATCAGAAGAAGGCACCCCATTCATTCCCCTTTTGCTTGCCATATCTTCAATAGTAGTGGTATTTCTCCTGCTCTGCCAGCAGCCAGCCCAGGCCACGAATAGGTGGGTAGCACCTCAAAGGAATGGCTATGAACCTCCCTCCTTTCTTCTCTCCCACCTGCAGGAAGTGCACCTTTGACATGTTCAATTTCCTGGCTTCCCAGCACCGGGTGCTCCCTGAGGGAGCCACCTGTGATGAGGAAGAGGATGAGGTGCAGCTCAGGTCAACGAGGTATGGAGGAGGGTGCTGGAGTGGTCTGGAAGGGTCCTAAAGAGGGTGACCAGGGGCAGGAGAGGTCATTCCTGGGTACCAGCCCGTGTGACTCTGCTGTCCCCCACCAGACGTGCCACCAGCCTAGAGCTGCCCATGGCCATGCGCTTTCGCCACCTCAAGAAAACGTCCAAAGAGGCTGTGGGCGTCTACAGGTTAGTGGGGTTGGGGGGAGGATGCCCCTTGGGTGGATGACAGGTGCCCTGGTGCGGTGCTGCCTTGGCTCTGTCCCCCGGCCCCCTGAGCTCCCCTTGCCCATCCTGCCCTGCAGATCTGCCATCCATGGGCGGGGCCTGTTCTGTAAGCGCAACATCGATGCCGGCGAGATGGTCATCGAGTACTCTGGTATTGTCATTCGCTCTGTGCTGACTGACAAGCGGGAGAAGTTCTACGATGGGAAGGTGGGCTCTGCCGGGACATGGGAATGAGGTGGGTGAGGCAGGGCCCGCCCATGGGAACAGAGCACCTGACTACCCCCGCCTTGTTCCTGTAGGGCATTGGGTGCTACATGTTCCGCATGGATGACTTTGATGTGGTAGATGCCACGATGCATGGCAATGCTGCCCGCTTCATCAACCACTCGTGTGAGCCCAACTGCTTCTCTCGGGTCATCCACGTGGAGGGCCAGAAACACATCGTCATCTTTGCCCTGCGCCGCATCCTGCGCGGTGAGGAGCTCACCTATGACTACAAGTTCCCCATTGAGGATGCCAGCAACAAGCTGCCCTGCAACTGTGGCGCCAAGCGCTGCCGTCGGTTCCTTAACTGAAGCCGTGCTGCCCACCATGCCTCCCGTGGCCATCTTGCCCCTGGTCTGGGGGCTCCCTAGTCTCTCCCAGAGCATCTCACCCCCTCTGTCATGTTCAGGGTGGATGTGGGCATGCGGGTGGCAAGGGCCCTGCCTCCACCCCTCCAGCCCACCCAGCAGTCGCCCCCTTACTGCCCTGGGGTCCCAGGTTGTAGATACTGTACAAAGTTTCTAAATCCCTTCTTTTCTATGCACTTTTTTATTTAAGAGGGTGGGATCCCAGGTGGGAACCCCCCACAATAAAGTCTGTCAATGTTTGGAGAGGTGGTCTGCCAGTTTGTACGGTGGTAGGGCCAGGTAGGAGCTCGTTTCTCTATGCCCCACTCCCATCCTGAGCCAGGGAAGCCCATCGGCCTCAACAGGTAGGTGAGAGGCCATTGTTGAGAATTAGAAGTAAATTATGGGGTCTGTCCAAGGCTTCAGAGCAACAAGTTAGGACCCAGCTGGGTCCCTGAGAATGAGCTCTCTTAGGGGTAGCAGGAACATTTCTCAAGAGACCCTGGTTGCCCAGAGGCACCTGAGACCAGCTCTCCCACTTATGGTCTAAGTGTATAATGGAATGGGCCCTTTTCTTGCGGTGCGAAGGAGGAAATAAGGATGTCTGCTGGGTCTTGTTCCAATTAAGGCTGTATTTCAAGAGGGCCTCTTAATGAGGCCGAGAGACAACAGGCACTTGTTTCAAGGGAAACATTTGAGTATTAGACTGGGCAAGCCCCAGATCACCCAAGCTTGGACAGCACCTGCAGCGCATCTGCCCGCCCTAGTTGGGCCAGGTGTGTGCCAAACTGGCCCAGAGAAGTGGAGGGCTCCCTTGCCACCACCATCTCTATCAGGGCTCGCAGAGGCGAACGACTGGGTCGCAGTGAGTAGGCAAAGGTGGACCAAGCAGCAGGCAGTCCGTATCTTGCAGCCAGGTGTCGAGTGGTACCACAGGCCAGTGCCCCACCTGGCCCGGGCTCAGGGTCCAGCAGCACAATCAGTTCCTCCAGCACCTCCAGCTCATCCAGGAGTCGAGAGAGGGGCTGCGATGCCAGATTTGACAGCTCTGGGAGACAATGGGGGCGAAGGGGAGAAAGCGTGGGCTTCCAGTCCACCTCCCCCCGCTTGGTGTGTCCGGTACTAAACCCCTCCCTGCCCAGGAGTGAAAGCAGAGAGACCTTCCTTGAGTTACCTGCCTCTGATACCTCCATGAAACCTGAAGGGGACGAGTGCAAGAACATGTGGGTGTTGGAGTCACCACAAGCCAAGCTGGGATAGGGGTAGAGGATAGCTTTCCCCTGGCGGCAGCGGCGGTGCCTTTGCAGAGCGAACAGGAAGATCGCTGCTGAGGTAAACAGCAGAACCAGCACCAGAGGCAGGGCAAAACTCAGCAAGGCCTGCCGAGGGACGGTGTGCTCAGATTCTGTTTGTTCGGAACTGTACATCTCCGGTGAGCTGGGCTCCTGGGAGCTTGGGCTGCTGGGTGTTTCAAGCTTCAGGGAGTAGCGCTCCTTGGTAGGGACCGATTTCTGCGAATTAGGGGGGTTAGAGTAAAGCAGGAGGCACGCCCCGCTCCTGCCCATTCGGCCCAAGGTTCCCCATCCTTACAGCCCTCAGAAGAGGGATCCAGACAACGCCCACCCGATCCCAAACCATGCTGTACAAACCCTGCCCCACCTCCAGCAGGATTCTTAGAGCCGTAAGGAGCCCGATTAGCACCTCTTTACAGCGCCGCCGGATTCTCCTGTGAGTGGAGGCCGTTGCTCCGCCTCCACAGGGGCTACAAAGCTCCATGCTGTTGGGGTTGCACTGCCCAGGAGGACACTCTTGGAAGGGATGCCTTTCGTGATCGCCGAAGTCACTTAGCCCGCAGTTTTCCGAAAACTCGTAGTCTAGGAGAGGACAGGGTCTCAGGTGTGGCCTACAAGCCCCGCCTCCTCCGTGATGCCCTTTCCCTTTTGTCCTATTCCAACAGACTCCGCCCCTGGGACTCTACTCACCCAATTATCAGCGGACGTGCCCACTCCTCAGTGCTTCCACTCCCCACACTAGCCCTGCCAGTTCCGAAACCTTCTCCACAGGCCCCTCCCTCTTCATGTCCCTGCCGCTCCCATACTGAGCTCAGCCACACGGATTTGTCTGCACAGTCCACCCCTTCCTCACCGCCCTGATCCCGCCTAACAGGCCACAAGCCTTCCCCGTGGCCTTCACGTATCCCATACTTATCTATTTCTTCACAGGCTCAGCCCCCAGACCTGCCTTTATCTGCTTAAGGCCCGCCGCCTCTACCCTGAAGCGAGGCCCCCAAACTTAGCTCCTTCCCCGGACCCCTATAACCCCCTAGCTCCGCCCAAACATATGCATACGCCCAGTCCCTGCTCCTCACCCGGGATGGGGGGTGGCCCGAAGCGCTGCAGGCAGCTGCCACAGCACTTGTTATCAGGGTTCCAGTACTCGAGTCGGCCGCAGTGCTGGGAGATTTTTCGAGGCGACGCCTGCGCCAGGAGCAGCGCAGCAAACAGGAGGCGTTGGGGCCCCATCCAGGCGGGGCCTGCAGCTTGGGGACCCATGACCGCAGGACTTCCGGCCACAGAGCCTTTGTCACTTTCCCATTAAATCAAAGCAGAAGGAAGCAGTGGATGTGGGGGCATAGGATCCCCAAGCCCCTACAGACGCAGGGAATCTACCCCAAACCCCCAAGTCCAGCTCCTGGCCCATTACAGAAGCCACAGGGACTCAAGCTGGCTACAGCAAAGACTCTGGAGACTGTGGATTCATATCCCACCTCTGCCATAACCCATTATAAAACAGGATAACAATACCTACCACCTGTCTCATAGGGTTATGGTGGAGAAGTAAAAACGTTACTAGAAGTAAACCATTACTAGAAGCTTTTAGGGAAGCACCTGGCATACAGTAAATTTAAGTATTAGATATTACTGACTCCCATCTCAGGGAAGCAGGGATGGAGGACACAGCCCTCACCCACTGGCGACTCCCACTCAACTCCAAGTGACCTTACCTTAGCTCCTAACCCCAATCTCCTCCAGGCTGGGAATCCTCCAACCTGCCACAACCAGGCGTCTTCCCCTCGAGAAGCCTCAGATGGATGTGCTGATGTTTCTCCTGTAAAAAGGAGCCCCCACCCCACCAGTCCCACTTAGGGGATCCTAGGGCGGTGGACCCTGAGCCGGCTGATTTTCCACCTATTACTTGAAGTTCTTCGCTTAGTTGTGGGCAGAGGCCAGCCTACTTCCCCTTTAGTCAGGAGACGTAGTGGTGGAAGGAAATGCCTCCCCACTCATAACTAGACTTGAGATATACACCCTCAATACAGAACTTTATTAGTGGAGAGGCAATAGGCCCCAGAGGCTAGGGAGATGCCCCTAGGGAGTTAAGGGAATTTGAGGAGGGGTCCTGGCCAGGAACATCGGTGCCTATCAGGGGTGGAGGGTAAGAAGGCCAGGATCTCAGAAGTGGCCATACCGGTGGTCTGAGGAACGTCAATAGTTTCTTTCTTGGGGATGGTGGTGGGTATGGGACCTCGGTGGTGACCTGGGAACAGTAGTGGGGAGAGGACCAGAGCGGTGGGGCAGAGCAGGTGATGAAGTAACAGAGTTCCTGGAGGTGGTTTCAGAACAGATGATCAGGGGATTATCTCGGGATTAGAGATCCAGGCTGGTTTTGGGGTTGGGACATAGGTGCTAGTCTTGGGATAGGGCTCACTTCCAGTTTTAGGATACCAAAGGCTTGAGACATTGTTATTAGGGCATAGGATCAGGTTCATCTCAGGGCATAGGGGCCTTAGGGTATGAGAAGTCTTGGCAGGCTGGTCCTGAGGTACCTGCACCTGGTTCCCTGCCGACAGAGCTGCTGCTGGAGGTTCCTGGAAATGGGCCGCAGGTGCATGAAGTTTCAGAAGCCACCACGGGTACATTCTCTGGGTTGAGGATAGATGGATGGCCATTATCACTGACAGCCCCCAACTGACACACACACAGGAGTCTGAGACTCCAGGTGCCCATCCCACCCCTCTACTGCCATACCCCATCTCACATTGCTGACAGCATGATTCCCAGAAGTCAGTGACAGGAGACAACTTGGCATGCACAGCCTGCCCACTGAACCAGCGATTATTGAGTTCAGTTACTGTCCGTTCGGCATCCTCCTCGTGTTAACTGAGGGGGAAAGTCGGTCAGGGTTAGCAATCAAATTCAGAAATCTTTAGGGGATTAGTTAGCAGCTCTGGGGGTGAACTGGATTTAGTGACGGACCTCAAGCTATGATATTTTAATGATGGCCATTAGGCACTGAAATGCCTCCGCCTCTGGGCTCAAATGTGAGGAAAGCAAGCACCTTGACATAAACATTGCCCACGAGGTGGTTCCCCAAGTTGTCACACATATTCATTTCTTCAATCTCCCCGTACTTGTCCTGCAGTTCGGTGAACACTTCCTGCGGAAGACCAGGAGGAGCTCAGCTGAGCTCCTGGACCACAGGAAACTCAACCCACCCCTGCCAACCCTCACTTCAAAGAAGTTATCATAGCGTTCTTGCACCTCCACATAGCTCATGTGACCTGGAGGAGGAGGCAGGGTGGAATCAGGGGGTGGCCTGCTAAGGGCTGTCCGCCCTGCCCCCAAAACCGGTCCCTCACTCACAGTGGGATCCATCTGCGGTTTGGGCGGTGTTCCGTTGATTTCGGTACAGGATGAGCAGCATTACGGTCTAAATACAATTTAGAGGAGCGGAGCCTGAGCATAGAAGGCGGGACTACGTGCAAAGGGGTGGGATACGAAGGTTGGGGGTTGAACTTAGTAACAGAGAAAAAGCCAGAGCATCCTGAGTGCATCAGAGATGCTTTCCCCTAAGAAATCCAGAAGAGGCAGGGGACCGAGAAGTGAGGGACAGCCCAAGGGTGTAGTTTGTACGTATGGGGGATGTGGCCAAGTTCCTGGGAGAAGAGCCTGAAGGCTGGGGGAGGAATCCGCGAAGTCCGACAAGAAAAAAGCCGGGCGGTAGGGTGGGGCTTCGAAATCCGGAAAACGCAGGACCTCGCGATGATAGAAAACAGAAGGGGAACGGCCGGGAGGCGTTAAACCTCAAGCTCTGTGCCGGGTCTCACCTGGGTGCAAGTCGTTTGTGAAGCCAGGACCACCGGTCCCCATGCCGATCTTAAAGTAAAAAGAGCAGTTAACCCTGGAAGAGATGCAAAGACCGAGGTGAACCGTGGGCCAGGGAGGCCGGGCACCTCAGAAACACCGTACCACGCTGCCCAGCCACCAAGAAACCAAGTGCTCCGTCTCCGACCCCCCGATATTCAGTCCCGAATATCGAAGCTAAACATTCAGCCGTTTTTGCCCGAACCCTCCAACTCTCGTCTGCTCTTAACTCACTTCCGTTGCTTAAAAGAGCATTGGGAAGTGTAGTTCTTCGCTGCCTTTGGACGCTTACCACGCGCTCAGAAACTCCCTAGTGCGCTTGCGTGTCGGAGGCCTGCGCCCTCTCCACAGAATCACCTACAGGAGGAGCTCATGCGTACAGCGCTGCCTATCAAAAAAAGACTACAAACCCCAGAGATACTTGCGGCATCTCGCGCAAACGTCTGTGGTTGAAAGTGGCAAAGGCGTCCGAGCCGGAGGAAGTAGACTTCACTGGTGAGTTGGGGGTCGTTTCGCGCACCCCAATAAACATAAAGAGCATCTCCACCCATTCAACTTGCTGGTGGGGGCGGGGGTGCCCTTCTTTCAGCAAACCCACCCTACAGTTGATCTGTATTGTGGTAAAAGGGGCGTGGTTTTTCGCGATCCTTGCATCTCACAGTGTCAAGGCTTGTGTCTTGCCTCGCAGACCCTTAAGACGACCAAGCGCAACTATGAACTTGGAGCGGGTGTCCAACGAGGAGAAGTTGAACCTGTGCCGGAAGTACTACCTGGGTAAGGGTCAGTCTTCTAGGGTCCCAGGAGAAGATAGGGAACGGGACTAGAGCGCCTGAGGGAAGAGGGCCTGGGATCCTGGATTCTTGATCTAAGGGATGAAGCAGCTGGAGACGCGAACTCCTAAGTCTGAGGGAAGGACCTGGATCCTGAGGAAGGAAGAGGCTGGGCCTCAACTTCTCGGTCCCAAGAGAAGAGGAGAGTCGGGGGCTGGACTCCTGGATCCTCAGAAAGAGATGGTTGAGAAATCAGATTCCTGGATCCCTGGGAGGAGCCAGGATTCCTGAGTCCCTAATAGCAGAGATCTCAATTTAAACTTGGGTGTAGAAGAGGACCTTCCAAATAAGTCCTCTAGGTGAGTGTCGGGGAGGAGACCCATTGCCTTATGTCCCAGTTTGTTTTTTTCTCTTTAGGTGGGTTTGCTTTCCTGCCTTTTCTCTGGTTGGTCAACATCTTCTGGTTCTTCCGAGAGGCATTCCTTGTGCCGGCATACACAGAGCAGAGCCAAATCAAAGGCTGTGAGTACAGGGCACAGTTGAAAGAAGGCCGTGGGGGTGGGGGGGGGGCGGGGAGCAGGGAGCTTTGGTGGGAGGGGATGATGGTAGTTCCAGAATTCTGAGGCCCTGAATGCTGGGGTGACCAGAGGGCAGGTGGAAGCCAACCTTACCAACTCCTGTACCCTCTTACAGATGTCTGGCGCTCAGCTGTGGGCTTCCTCTTCTGGGTGATTGTACTCACCACCTGGATCACCATTTTCCAGATCTACCGGCCCCGTTGGGGTGCCCTTGGGGACTATCTCTCCTTCACCATACCCCTGGGTACCCCCTGACAACTTCTGCACAGGCCTGAGACCTGCTCATTCTCCCAGGATGGGGTCCTCTACTCTGAGCCTACTCTTAAGCCCCTAAGACTTGTTCCCATCTATGTTCTCTGCTCACATTCCCCAATAAATGACCCTAATTGTCTATGTTGACTTCCTGGGATCTTTTGGATGTTAAAATATAAAGTGATTATTACTATTCAGAAGCATTTATTGAATGCTTACTTTGTGCCAGGCTTAGTGCTTCACACATTATGTGCATTTTTTTTTTCACTAAATACTACTCATAACCCTCTGAAATAGGAAATTTCCGGCTCTAGTAACCTATTTTACTAATGCAGAACCAAGAAAGGAATAATGCTTCTACTCGGGGCTGCTATCTCGTACTGGTAGTATGTGAATTTGAAAACATTATTTTCCCACTTGATCTCAGTATTCTCATCTATAGTGTTGATCACATTGCTACTTCCTAGAATTGATCTGGGTCAAGGCATATGTGGTAAATTGAAGCTTCCCATTTTCTGAAGATGTCTGCTTTATTAGAGAAGGAGAGAAGGCTTCTATGACCATCCCTACCGTGGTACTCAGTATGTTCCTTTCAGGCTATATTCATTCCCCTACTACACCTCATTAAATCGTTTTATTTGTTTATTGCCTATCTTCCATCTTCTAAAATAAAAACCCTATTAGGGCAAAGATTTTTGTCTGTTTTGTTAACTGCGTGTCCCCAGTGCCTAGAAGAGTGACTTGCACGCTAGTAAATATTTGCTAAGTGAATGAGGTTGTGCCTGAAAAGAGATGAACAGGTAACTGGCAAGCAGCCTAACTTAAGACTTGTCTTCCTATTAGGGATGAGAGGGACTCCCACGGTTAAATAAGTTCTGATAATACTTAAACTGTTGTTACTAAAAGCTAACACAAGTTTCAAAAACCCTCGCAATTCCCTGATCCTACATCTCCCACCCTGCCTCGCGCGGCGCAGGCGCCGTTACCCCCAGCGGAGTCTCGGGAGCTAGAACTACACCTCCCAGAAAGCACTTCGGGATGTCGTTGGTTTGTTTCCGGAAACGGGTCCTCAAAAAGGTGGGACTTAGAGCTAGAAGCTGACGGCGGCAGCTGTCAATTGGTTAGGATACGAGATCGATGATTGCACTGACTAATGGGAACAAACGAATACCAAAGGAACCCGCCCACAGAAGAAGAACTAGAGGTGGCGGCAGCGGTCGTGGCCCGACGCTGCTCAGGGTGGAGGACTGACAGTGCACGAAGCTTATCTTTGACCTCCCCCCGTCTGCCTCCGGCCTTGACTTATGATCCTAGGTTCTTTTGGGCTTCTCTGATCCAGCTAGCCAGACCCCAGACCTAAACCATGTTCCCGGTGAAGGTGAAAGTGGAGAAATCAGGTGAGGATCCCGAGATCGGGGGCGTGTAGGGGAGCACGGGACTTATCAGGTGTGGGAGTCCGGATAGACAGGATTATCGCGATAAGAGGGACTACGCGATTTCTCCTGCAGCCTTTCTGACTATCGCTATGTCAGGCATCGAGCGATTCCTGCCACCTGCATAGCCTCCATAGGTCTGTGCACAAGATTGCTTTAAGATTGAATGGTGGTGGCTCAAGCAGCGTGGTGCGGTAAAACACGGCAGTCCCGAACTTGGGAGCCCTTCTTGAGAAGGACTCTTGGCTCTGCCTCAGATTCTCCATTTCCAGCAGTGGTCATGAGTCAAGCATTGTGCTGAGTGCCTGACGTACAGGGAAACTTTTAATCCTCATAGTCACTGTATTTCAATAATCCTAGGAAGTAGGCAGTGTGGTAGATGGAGAAACAGAAGCTGAGAGAGAGGAAGTTATTTGGGACTGGAGCTGAGCTCATGGGAATCCAGGACTGGAATGTTAAGAGCCGTGGAAGAGGCACAGAACCCAGACCAATAAATAATGGTAAAATGGTGTGGAATGTTAAGATAGTCCAAGTGGTAATAAAGCAACAAAGGAGAAGTAAGGAGATCAAGAGTGAGTGAGGCAAAGTGAGGGAGAGAGCCCTGAGGCTCTGAGGGAACAGCGAATCAGACAAAGGAAATAGCTTTGAAAGGCCCTAAGGTGGAAGCTTTGCCTGGCCTGGGCAGGGACCAGCAGGGAGGCCAGTTTGGCTGGAACAGAGTGAGTGAGGTAGAGAATGTGAGGTGATAAGGGCAACGAGGGGAGGGGAGAGGGACCGATTTTGTGGGCCCAGGTTAGGACTTTGGCTTTTGCTCCGAGGGAAACAGGGAGCCAAGGGAGTGTTTTGAACTGAGTGAGTTCATAAAGATACCCTTGAAATGCCAAAAAAAATTGTGGGTGGAAAAGTGAAGAGGGCCTGACCACAAATAATGGTGGTGGGGGAAGGGGTAGTAGGTAGGTTCATGGAGACCTGTGAACGCCCAGCTGAAGATCTCAGACTCTGTCCTGGGGACACTGCAGAGTTGTGGAGGATTGTAAGGGGAGGATTGGGGTCAGGCTTGGTTTTAGGAAGATTTTCCTGGTCACCTTGTGGAGAGTGGATCAGAAGGGGAGACTGAGGTTGGGAGCCCAGGGGAAGGAAGGAAAAGTACCAGGGTAGATGTCGCAGGGTTGGGATAGGTGGAAGAGAAACTCAGGAGGCCAAGCGGACAGGTCATGGATTGGTGGGCTGGGGTGGGGGAGGGAGAGAGGTGTTTACCATGTTGAGGCCCTGGGAGGGATTGGGGACAGTGGGGCTACCCCTGAGATGGGGGCCCAGGAAAGAGGGTAATTTTAGAGAGACACTGAGGCCAGTATGGGACACAGTAATTGGAAGGAGCCTGGGCGATATCCAGGGGGAGGTGTCCAGGAGTCCATAGGATCGCAAGATTTGAGATGCAGGAGATAAGTGGTTGCCAGGGAAAGAGATACGGGCATGAACCCTTCCTTGGCTCCTGCCCAAGGCTTTTTGCTAGAACCCCAGCTGCCCCCAATCCCCCACTCCCTCCCACACTGTCTCTCCTCTGAATGATGTCGGGAATCCCTGCTCCCTACGTTTCCTTGTCTCCTCAGAAAGTCCCAGGGCTTGCCAGAGCATGTCCCCAAGTATCCTTCCAGGCTCTGGGCACTGGGCCAGAGCGCCTATTAGTTGGAAGACAAGAGCAAACACTGCACAGGGTGAGGGGTGAATGTTTATAACATCAATACCTCTTTAAGTTCTGTGATGAAGAACACACAGGCTGATGGGGCCAGGCAGGGCTTGTGGCAGTCAGGAAGGTGGGCCAAAATCTTATTTCCTGGGAGAAAAAAAGCCAAAATGGGTATTTTGAGTAAAATCTCCAAATTATTAAATGTAAGCTCACTCAGATTTAATTCAGATTTAAAATAACACCTCTGCCTCAGCCAAACAAAGCACAACTGGGGACTGGATTCTGCACCCAGCTTGAGCCCCTGCCTTATAACTTCAGCTTTGGAGCCAGAGGCCTGGGTGCAAATCCTCAGCCCTGCAGTTTCCTAGCTGTGTGACTTTGTGCAAGGACCTAACATCTCTGTGTCTCAGTTCCATCATCTGTAAAATGGCGGTAAAAATCGTATCTACCTGCCAGGGTTATTGTGAGAATTCAGTTATTTAATATGTGTGATGTGCTTGGAACAATGCTTGGTACATAATAAGCACTCTGTATATGTTACTAATTATTGCATTCTGCTAAGAGATTTGTATACAAGATAGGTTTTACGTAAACCTCAGAACAGTCCTAGCAGATAGGTATCATTTGGAGACCCATTTTCAAAATGAGGATACAGGCTCAGTGAGGTAAGGTGACTTGCCTTAGGTCACACATGAGCATGTGGGACAGCCCTAGAGCCCAGAGCTCCTGCTCATCACTTCAGTAGTCTCTGTCCACTATACCCTCAGCACACCCGGGCTTGGCCATAGGACTGTCTACACATCCAGTTCCTCAGCCCAGTTGGCTGCCCACCTGCCTTGGATCTGGGAACTGACTCCTGCCTGGTACCTTCTTCCCCAGAGTTGGAGATGGTCAAGGCCCGGAACCAATTGGATGCTGTTCTGCAGTGTCTGCTGGAGAAGAGTCACATGGACAGGTTGGGACCTGGGGCCAGCATAGGGTCATAGGGGGTTGGGGGCCCTGGCAGGTTGGGCCCTCTGGTCCTGGGTAGATCTGGGTGGGACCCCAGAACCTGGCTTAGGGAGGCAGGGGTCCAATGGAGAGAGCGCTTGGTACCTTCCCACCTTGGGTCCTTGGAACTCTGAGCCCACCCACGGTTCTTTTCTGCTACCAGGGAGCGTCTGGATGAGGAAGCTGGGAAGACCCCCTCAGACACCCACAACAAGTAAGTTTTGTTGTTGGGATCTGTAGCTGAGGGTTTGTGGTGGATAACTTCTCCCCTCCACCCAGGCCCTGACCACTCTGCGCCGTGCTGCCTCCACCACAGTCCCAACCACTCTATGTGTAGAAAGACTCTGGGGCAGCAGAAGCTTAGGTCCCCTCATAGTTAGTACTTGCAGCCCCAAGGGTGTGGGTGAGACACAAGGCCTAAGGGGTTGGTGAGCATCTAAGGCTGGATCTCAGTATCTCCAGGGTGCCCTTTGGGGGGTTTTGAGCAGGCAGTTTTTCAAGGGTCAGCCTGCTGACACCCTGTCTCTCCCCACAGGGATTGTTCCATCGTGGCCACCGGCAAACGGTAAGGTGGCAGGGGCCCCAGCCAGGTGACAAGAGGTCCCCAGACTCCGCCCTGGTCCTGAGGTTCTCCCAACCCACACAGGCCATCCGCCCGCTTCCCCCACCAGCGGAGGAAGAAGAGAAGGGAGATGGATGATGGACTGGCCGAGGGAGGGCCGCAGCGAACCAGTGAGTAGGTGGTGGCCCTAGAGGGCGGTCAATGATAGCGGGTTATGGGAGCATGTTCACATGCCTCCCACTCCCACCACCCTAGATGCGTATGTGATCAAGCTGTTTGACCGGAGTGTGGACTTGGCTCAGTTCAGTGAGAACACGCCTCTGTATCCAATCTGCCGTGCCTGGATGCGCAACAGCCCCTCAGTGCGCGAGCGTGAACGCTCGCCCAGCTCACCGCTGCCCCCACTGCCTGAGGATGAGGAGGTAGGGTAGGGGTCACAAGATAGCTTCCCCCCAAGCTAGTGGGAGAGACAGGCGTAGGTTTCTGTGTCCCTTAAATGACTCCTGGGTCCTGTAAGGCACACAGATATGAACCCTTAGGCGTGGGGTGGAGATGGAGCTCCCTAGAATAGATAGACCTGGCTACTTGGTCTGGGGGAGGAAAGGGACAGGGTTCCCCTGGGCAGATATATGTGACCTCCAAGATTAGGGGTCCTCAAGAGCTGGGGGCTGGACAGGGGTCCTTAGTGTAAACAATTGTAGCCACCTGGTCTAAGGAAGCAAATGAGGACCCCCTGGGCTGGTCAGGTGTAGATGGGGGTCTCGGCTTGGCAAGGGTGGATGGGGGGTCCCTGGGTTGGATAGGAAAAGACAGGGATCCCTGGGGCAGATAGACCTGACCTCCAAACTGGGTAAGGTCCCTATCCTTCAGACATGACTCTTAAGTACATATCCCTGGTGAGACCCTCATGTCTTTTGTCACTGGGAAAGGCAGAAGGGGTGAAATGTGTACCCTTAGCCCTCTTCTCTGACTCCCTTGGGTCTGGTGCGGGCCTCTTGTGTCCCCAGGGTTCAGAGGTCACCAACAGCAAGAGTCGTGATGTATATAAGCTGCCTCCGCCCACAGCCCCTGGGCCACCTGGAGATGCTTGCAGATCCCGAATCCCATCCCCACTACAGCCTGAGACCCAGGGTACCCCCGATGATGAGGTGGGTCTGCAAGGCTGGTCTGGGGCTATGGGACGTAAGTTGTGGTGTTTGGGCATGGCCACCCAGCCTGACCTATCTGTCCACACAGCCCTCCGAGCCTGAGCCCTCATCCTCCACACTCATCTACCGCAACATGCAGCGCTGGAAACGCATCCGCCAGAGGTGAGCTTCCCCAACCTGCTTGCCCCACTATGGCCTCTGCCCCAGCTGCTGAATCTTCCCCTCTGCTTCACCACCCCCCACTGCAGGTGGAAGGAGGCATCTCATCGGAACCAGCTTCGTTACTCAGAAAGCATGAAGATCCTACGGGAGATGTATGAGCGACAGTGATGTTCCTGCCCTCCCCCCACACCCCAATAAACATTCCCCACCACACACTGGCCTCTGATTGCTCCAGCCCATTCTTCCCAGCCCAGACATAAAGCAGTCAGTACAGCACTAGCACATTTATTGGGGGAGTGGGCCTGGGTAGGAGATGGGGCAACCGGGAATTCAAGGAGGGAGAAAGATTGCAGGGAATCAAAGAAAGTGGCTGCTTGGCTGTTTCTTGGATAATGAGAGGGGTCTGGAAGGTGGACTGCCTGTAGTTAGAGACTTGAGGGTCAAGACAAAGTGACTGGGGAGGTTCTGGGTAGAGTTGGTGATGGGAGCTAGGATATTGTGCAGAGGGAGATGGGCAAGATATCTACATTTTGAGGTTGGGGGTCCTAGTTGGCCTAGGTGTCCAAGGGTCGGGGTCAGAAAAGGGATTCAAGAGTCTGAAGGTGGATTGGGGGATGGGGTGGCAGGGAGTGGAGTGTCTGATTGGAATGAGGTGGAGGACCAGGCCTGGATGGTCTGGGATGGGAGGTCTGTGCAGTCTGGGACATTTGAGGGGTGGAAGGGATTATGCTTGACTGTCCTAGGGTGGGGACAGGGCTGGCTAGACCATTATATGGTGTCAGAGTAGAGATGTGTTTGTAGAGGAGTCAAAAGGAAATAGGAAGGAATTTTGCGTGGGCTTATATGCCAAGAAAGTGGGTCAGTGGGGGTGGGAAACTAGGATGAGGGTTTGTGTTTGTAGGATCTAGAAACTAGAGAGGTGTGGGGGTATTGAAAGAATGTGAGAGCAGGAGTGTCAGTGGAAAGGTCTAGGTTATCAGGGCTGAGTCGAGGTTGGAAGGAAAGGGCAGGATCCCAGAACAGGTGAGCAGGTGGTCTTGGGGCGTTCATGACATCTGGCTGGGTGGAGTCAGGTCGGCTTCAAAAGAGGGGGCCTGAGGTGACTCCCGGGGTTCAGGCCAGCCCAGACCCCTACTTGGCAGCAGCTGCTGGCGGCGGCAGTGGAGCCTGGGCTGGTGCAGGTGCGGCCTGGATGGACAGGACACCCTCAGGGGACAGTGCAGAGGTCACTGTGGCAGGGTCCACACCAGATGGCAAGCGGTAGCGGCGGTGGAATTCGCGTGCGACGAATCCGTGCTCATCCTGGAAGATGAGAGGTTTGAGCGGCCCTGCCCTTTCCTCTCGCTGCCCCCCGCCTTCGGCTAGCGGATCCCACCTCAGGTTCTGCCCCTGCCAGCGGCCTCACCGGGCGTTCCTCGTGGCGTGCGTGCACCTCCACGTGTTCGCCAACAACCTTAACTGCGATTTCCTCCGGCGAGAAGTGCTTCACGTCCAGCAGCACCGAGAAATGCCCAGGGTCTGTCGGCACCTGCGCAGAGCCTGATTGTCATCAGCTGGTCAAGGCTCCCGGGACCCAGGACCCAGCAAGGCCCCTCCCCCGTCGATTCCGGTGCCGCAGCTGACCCTGGCCTCCGAAATTGGGAAGTCCCCTTTCCTACTCGTAGCCACCCAGGGCCTCTTCATCCCGAAGAACTGGGCTCATCTGTCCCCTTGTAATTACTGGGATTCCCCCTCATCCAGTGATGAGGCCTTCCCCTGCCAGGTAAGGGACCTTCTCCCTCACAGGGTGAGACCAGCCCCCTTTCCCAGTGTCCACGACCCCATAGCGTGTCCTCCTGGGCCCATACTGTCACCCCCCACCTCCAGAAATCGCCAGGATGTCTCTTACCGGTCTCCAGAGTCCTCGTTCTAACCTCCCACTCGAGTCACGGGACCGCCTGCGTCCTCAGCAGTTACTAGTACTCCTCCCCCACTTTTCAGACTGGCCAGACCCCCTCCCCCCCGCCCCGTTTCTCAAGTCACAGGACCCTTTCTCACCTCTGCCTCTCCAGGATACATACGGTTACCCCATACAGTCTCCAAACTCTCTTCCCCGAGAATAACGAAAACATCTCCTCCCCGCAGGAGTCACTGAGAGCCCCCACGCCCTTTACAATGATTGGACTCCCCCTTCCCCCCCTAGTTTCCTCGGGTGACTAGCCTCATCAGAATCACCAGGACTCCCCTCAGAGTGACCACCCCCACCCTATCAGTCCTGTCAGAGCTGAGACCCTCCTCAGATCAACGGGGAACCCTGACCCCCTCAATAATATGGCCTCTGAGATTCCGTACTCGGGAACTCTGGAAGCCCCTCTGAGTGGCCAGACTCTTCACTCCGCTCAAAGTCAAGGGACATTCCCTCACCCTCCCTCAGGGTTACCAGGGCCCTGAGCCTTGAAAGTGGTCGGGTTACTGCCCCTCCCCAGGCCTGGCACCTGGGCGGCAGGCAGCGCCACGCTGGGTGCGCGCAGGTAGTAGGGCGCCAGCGAGGCGGGGCAGAGCGAAGCGAGCTCGGCCTCCAGCAGCCCCTCGCCGAAGCGCTGGTCGAAGAGGCGCCCGGGCGCCGAAAGCCCAGGCAACGGGGCCGAGGCACGGCGCAGCCAAGACGGCTGCACAGGCACCGGGATCTCCATCCTGTTCCTCCGCCACCCGAGGCTCCGCAATGCCCCTGAGTGCGCCGCTGCTGCTTTATAGTACGCCCTGTGTCCGCCCCTAGGCGGGCCGCCCAGGGACACTGGGACCGCGGCCAGACCCGGCCACTAATAGAGCCTTATTTAGAAAGCCCAACAATGACTTGGCCATTAAGTAAGCGCCTGCTGGATGCCAGAGAGGTATCAAGATCCCCCAATATCCCGAAGGGGAAACTAAGGCTGAGAAGGCGGAGCCTTGCTGGAGTGGGGAGCACAGCGCGGCGTTTGGGACCCAGGGTCTGAGAATCCCTCTTCAGAGCTCCCAGTCCCTTTACTCCACCCCCGCCCCACAGGCAGCTCCGGGGATGACGCAGATGGCGGTCTTAGGAGCAGAATTCTGGGTACAGAGAATGCGGTAGACGGGCCAGGCTGTCAGGAGGAGACAGAACAGACCTACTCCCATCTCAGCCCAGCCCCCAGCAAGCCGGACCTAATTCTGTGCCTCTGACTCAGTCTCGGATGTGCAGAGTAGCGGGGTCTGCCAGGTGAGCAGCAGCCAGGGGGCGTGGGCAAGAACAGTCCAGGCTGGCCCCCGGGGGGCCGCGCGCCTGGCCCGAAATAGCTCGTTTTGATCCCGCTACCTCGGCCAGGAGCCCAGGCCTGGCACTTAGAGCAACCAGCTGCTCTGCAGCAAGACGGAAGTGGTTAGGTGACCGGGTGGGGCCGGCCTCAGGTCCGACTGATGCGGGGACGTCCGTTAGAGAGGGGAGTCTCCCTGATAGCCCCTACAACGGGAAAACAGTAGTTAGAATGTAGTCTGGACGAGATTTCTGCAGCAAGAGGGGGCGTGGTTGGGAGACAGACGGCAGGGAAGCCAGTGTACTTTAGAACCCCCTCCTAACAGCGAGCCCAGTCTCACATCCTTTCCATTGGTCCAGAGGCTTGCCAATTACTGCTGCACTACGGTTCTCCAATCAAACACGTTCTCTCAATCAGGCCGACATTACAGCCAGTTGTGAGACTCCCCTCTTTAGCCGCTTTCCAATTACTTTTATTTTCCTCTCTATTATTGGTCGCCTTTGAGGTCTCTCTTCCCGCGCGGGCACTCCCAAAGAGGGGCGGGGCTGATAGGGCATTGCTAAGCGACAAAGATGTGCGCGGCGTCAGTCCGGTGAAGGAGCAGAGCAGGCCGAAACGTCCAGGTAGCTGCGGGATGAACCGCAGGTGAGGCCGATTCGTTTTCCGGGGACCACAGGAGGCCTGGGGAGGACCAAGGGTGAGAGCAACACAGTCTAGGGTCATGTTTGCTAGAGTCTGGAATCTTGGTCTCAACTGCATGGAACTACATCTCCCAAGATGCTCCTCAGCCTTTGGCTGTTCCAAGCCTTGGACTTCACCATCCCGGGGGCCCCATGCGTGTTACGTTCCGCTCTCCTTGTGGCCCTAGGAGCTTTTTTTCTTCCAAGAGTGTCCAGGGGCGTTTTCGAAATTAAGTTTCTTAATTTTGAAATTGTTCCCAGACCTCCGTGGGTGTTGTTTTTGACGTTTCTTGCTTAGGTGGAGTCCAGTGACTGGTGGGGATTGTAGTCCATCTACCCTTTTCTCCTTAGACAATGTCCCAAGAACTTATGGGAAATGTACCGTGATAGGGTTTAGCCGTGGTTCTTAACCCGAGCTTCACTTCAAAACCACCTGGGACGCTGCGAAAAAGATACAGGTGCCTAGCCCCCCTTCCAGATAATTCTGATAATTCTGGTCTGGGGTGAGGACCATGCATCTGTTTTATTTTAAGACTCCTCCTAGATTGGATCCAGTGTTGAGAAACATCTGCTAGCAAGCAATTCCTGGATTCTTCTCTTTTGAGAATGCCCCAAGGGCTGGTGGGAATCGTGCCTCCATTATCATTATATTGACTGTGCAGTGATACTTCATGAGAATTATAGTCCATCTCTTCCAGTAATCTATGTGGAATTGTAGTCTGGTTCTGTCCTCCTCTTTCCACCCTCTCACGCTGATGTTACCCCCTCCCCTTGACCCCACCCCCCACCCTCAGGGCTGCAGTGATGACCGTACCCTGCCTATCAACCCCACTCTCCCCTTGCAGCCTGCCAAAATAGCCCCTTTGGGGATGCACCCCTGGGTCAAAGCTACTACTGGCCATCCAAAGCCAGACCTAGCATGCCAAGGTGAGGACACTCCACAGAGAGTGCTGTACGACTGCTCAGTAGCAAGAGAATGAGGACGGAGGGAAGGAAGACATGTGATAAGAGATGGGGGTGAGACATTAAGAGACAGTCCCTCCTCCCCTCCCTATGGCTCTGCCCTTATCCAGTCCTTTATCACCTGGATCTCCTACCACAGCCTGGTTTTACTCTGAGTTACCATTGTGAGATGTGTTTCCTCCTCTCTGGACTGAGACTTCATAAGTCTTTGTTTCCCTACAGGGATGACCCCAGGCCTTACTTTTTCTTCTCTCCACCTCCCCTATCTTAGACTCTGAGCTCATCCAGGTCCCAGAGATCCAGGATCCCAGAAGCTCCCATGGCTCTGACCACAGGTCTCAACTCCCCTGAGCTGTTAGAGGGGTCCTGGCCATCCAGCTCAGGGATCCCTTCCCCACCCAGGACCACTGAGGAACAGATGGTTGCCTCCCCACCACTCACTCTGGTTGATAGTAGTGACTCTGTGGTAGCCAAGTAAGTACCAGCAACCCTGGGGGGAAAGAAAGGTTGCGGGGTGGGGACCGGCATTCCATAATAATCATCACAGCCAGAGCTGTTTATGCAGCTCTTTTAGGACCATACTTCATATGTGTTAAGAGTTCTGGAGCTAGGCTGCCTGGGTTCAAATCCCAGCTCTGTCACTTACTCTCTGTATGATCTTGGCCTCAGTTTCTTCATCTGTGAATTGGGGATAGTAATAACACATATACCCTAGGGCTGTTTTAAGCTTTCGATGAGTTACTTAATATCTGTAAGGCATCTATAACAATACCGAGTGAGCACTTGGGTTTGTATTGGGTTGTCGGAAAAGTCATGACGCATTTTTGCATCAAAAAACATAGAAAAATACGTCATGACTTTTCCGACAGCCCAGTAAGACACAAGTTCAGCTGCTGTAACAAAGAGTCCTAAATTAATTGCGGCTTAAACAAGATAGCATTTATTTATCTCTCACCTAATAGTCCAGGCAGAAGTAACCAGGGCTGATATAGCAGCCCCCAGTTGAGATGTCAGAGACAGTTTCCTACTATCTTGTTGCCCTCCCCACCCCTAGGCTGTTGCCCTTTCCTTCATGGACCAAAATGACTCCCCACCACATCCACTTTCCCGAGTCACATCTCTTCATACCCTGCTCGTCAAGAACCTAGTTACATGGCCATAAAGCTGCAAGGGCACCAGATGTATTTATAGAAGAGTGGCTACGTGCCCAGTATTGCATTACTGTATAAGAAAAGAGAACGGATATTGAGGGACAACTACCAGGCGCTGCTGTAGTGCTCAATGAACATTGGCTATTGTGATTATTATTGTTATGATTTGATTCTCCTCACCTCATCCACCTCCATTCTCTTATGCCCACAGGTACATAAACCGGTTTCGCCAGGCTCAGCCCACAAGCCGAGAGGAACGCCGGCCTGTAGGCATAACCCCAGCTGACTTTTGGTGGCTGCGGCCTGAATCTCCAGACCCTAGCAATCAACTTGCAGCAGGTACCTGCTTTAGTCCTGTCCACTCCTGACCCAAAACATTTCCTGATCAATGTCCTCAGCAGCCACTCCTCCTGTCCCTCCTAAATCAATTGGGGCTTCTCAGCAGGAGTCAGTGAACCAGAAGAAAGACTCAACACAGCAGTCCCAACTCTTGCCAAGGTGGCCAGTGCATCGCAGGCTAAGACTATGACCCCACTTCAGGAAATCAAGCAGGTGACATCCCCATCCTCTCCTTTTCCTAGGTACCTGAACTGACAGTACCAGCTGGGATAGAATTAGTCAATCCCAAATTCAAGGAAGCTTAAACAAAAAAAAAGGAGGATTTGTTTGCTAATGCAGTAAAAAAAATCCAAAAGTAGATGCTTTCAGGCATGGCTGAATCCAGGTGTTTGAACACTATTAGGAGGAACTTGACTCTTGTCTCTCTGTAACTGTTTTTTGGGCTCAGTCTCAGGCAGGCTTTCCCTTCAAAGTTGCTAAGATGGCCCCACTAGCTCTAGGTTTCTAATCTATTTAGTTAATCCACATGAAAAAGGAAGGTTTTCCAATAGCTCCATCCAGAGCCCCAGGGCTTACTCTCACTCACAATAACTGTGATCCAGAAGACAGAACGTTATGATTAGTCAGGCCTGGTCAGGAAAGTAGGGTCCACCCTTCTCCCATAAGGGGTGCACTGAGGGGTGGTGGATCCACAGAGGAAAACTGGGTCATTCTTCCCTGAGGAGGAGGAGCATCTTCTAAGCCAGAATGTGAGGGTACCAGGTGGGAGTACAGATTTGCACTCCAGGTCCTCTAGAGCCCTTTTCCCAGCAGCCTTTAGGATGAGAGCTGACCTCTGACCCTCTCACCTCGTAGAACCTCAACACATGGAACTCATCCCTGCTGGACCTGGAGACACTGAGCCTGCAAAGCAGAGCTGCCAGGCTGCTGAAACGCAGGTGCCTCTCCCCACATCATCTTCCCCACTCCTAGAGCTCCAGGCCCAGCCCACTGCCTCTGAGACTCCTGTTGCATCACTTCTGCCTTCTCCCTACAGCAAGGCCTCGATCTCCTCCTCCTCCTGCAGTCCCAGCGATGCCAGCAGCTCCTCATTCCCTGTCAGCTCTGATGGTCCCTCTCCCTTCTCCATGACCTTCACCCCTGAATCCAGCAAGGGCTCTGACCCTAAGGCACATGGTAAGTTCTGGGAGGCAAGGATTGAGGGTGGTCTGGGTGGAAATCCAAGCGATGTGACCTTGGGCCTCTCTGGGCCCTCCTTGTTTTCTCAACTTTAAAGCAGGGATAATAATCACAATCCTCTTGCTGTGGGTGTTGTGAGGATTAAATGAGTTGGTGAATACGTGGAGTACTTAGCACAGCTCTGTTAACAGCAGCTATCATTCCTATGACAGGTTTTCTCTATCCCGTCTGCCACTCTGAACACAAAGCTCTAAAATCAGAAAGCTTTTTGCAAATTTGGCACCACACCTGGTTTGACAGCAAAATCTGACCTCAACAATAAGGATATTTATAATTCTATTATTTATCTATCTATATCTCATGTAGGGCGACTGTTCATCCTTTTTGCTGTGGATATATTACATTGAACCATATGAAATGTTTGCCTTTGTAAGTAAAAAATGGTTGAATGTTGGCAATTGCATATTGTTCAGCCAAATATGAATGTGTTTGAGTCTGGTGTACTGTCCCAGAGCCCTGTCTACACTGCATATACCATGCAACTTTGCTAAAACAGGCAAACTGTTGAGCATCCAAATTTCTGCCGCCAAGATTTTCAGAGATGAGTTTAAGGACCTGTGTTACTATTACTGCCATCACTGTTCTTATTTTTACTCTATGTCCAGGTCCTGGGATGCAGTGGTACATAGGACAGGTGCTCTGTATGTCTCATAGGGTCCTGTGAATGGGGACAGACAAACACAAGTGAATAGAGGTGTTTGTGCATGTTGTGTGATCCTGCTCAAGCACTTGTCTATCTGATTCTTCCCTCTGTCTAAGCTTCACCTTTTATTCACCTCTCCTTCCTGAGCCTCAGTTTTCTCATCTGTAAAATGGGGATAAAACTAGTCTGCTTCATCAGTTGTTTTGTAGATTAAATTTATCCATTCATTCGTCAAACAAACATTGAGTTCCTACTATGTATGAGGCCCTGTGAGCAGGATTAGGGATTCCACAGTGAACCAACCATACATAGTCTTACCTTCAGGGCCCTCACAGCATAGTGTGTGTGGAGCAGAGAACTGCTACATAATCCCACAAACAAATGTGAAAGTAAGCGGAAAGGAGATCCAAGCAGGAGAGGACAGTGATGCTGGGAACTCAGAGAAGGCCTTCCCAGAAGAAGTGCTAACTCAGTGGAGATCTGAATGATGACGGTGGGGACAAGAGCCCTCTAGCATGTACAGAGGTTCTGAGGTGGGAGGGTGCACGGTGCAGAAAATGGACTAGAAAAGGCAAGCGCTAAGGGTAAGAGTAGTGTGGGATAAGGCACGAGAGATTGGCAGGGGTCAGATTACATTGGGCCATGTAGGCATGGTGCGGCATTTGGTCATTATCTTAGTACTGGGGAGCCATGAGAGGGTTCTGAGTGGCGAGGGGCCATGATCTCCCTTGCGTGTTAACAGACTCCCTCTGGCCGCTATCAACACCTTTTGAGAAGCACTGGAAATTTGGCTTGGGCCAGAGCCTGAGGAGCAGAGTAGAGGGAAGTGGCCAGGTTTGGAAGTAGAATCTCAGGATTCTCTCCACACATCTTTTTGGGGGATATAGAAGGGAGAGGTCTAAGATGATGCCCCCCTCCCCCCTTCCCTGTCTAGCATCAGATGGTAGGGCTTCTGAGAGATAACGGTAGCCCTACTGACCATGACTGATGAAATACTGCTCTGGATGATGGGAAAGATGTCCTTTTGCACCACTGGACTGAGGACAGGCAGTGGCCCTGCCCTTAATCACTGCTGTTTTGAGCCAGAGCAGTGCCGGGCTCAATAGTAAGAGCTGGACAAATATTTGTTAATGAAGGAAGCATTGAATGATGACAGGTTGAGGAGCCCATGCGTCCTCTCTCTCCTCGGACTCTGCCCCTTCCCACTTTCCACTCTACAGAGGAGTTGGGACGTTATCTGGAGAGCCTGTCTGAATAGCCTTCTGGTACAGTGCACAGGCTGTCACTCGGTTGTTCATCACCCCCCTTCCCTCTAATTAATCCCAAAGGAACTCCAGCACCAGCCCCCGGCCCTGCTCCAACCCTGGTCTCCTCCCTGGCACCCCTGCGGCCAGAAGATGACATTCTGTACCAGTGGCGGCAGCGGCGGAAGTTTGAACAGGCTCAAGGAGGTCAGGGTGACAGAACTTGGATGCGGCCAGGGACGCCTGCCCTTACCACTCAGGTGAGATGGAGGAGGGAGGAGACTGAGGGGCTGAGGAGGTACCCCAAGGGAAGGTGGAGGAAGGGGTAGACTGAGTGGGACTGAAGACATTCTCTCTACCCTTTCTCTCCCTCTCAGGTCCCTGTCCCCATCTGTCTGCAGACCCCTCCTGACCCAGGAGAGATCCTTCGTTCCCTGGGGACACAGCCTAACTGTGTTCCACTCTGGGGCAGTGTGGCCCAGCCTGTTCCCCCGGAAGCCATCCATGTGGAGAGGCCTCCTCTTCCCCCAGGGTTCTCTCCACACATCGTCTGGGGCTCCAGCCCCCATGGGTTATTCTGGGCCCCGCAGTCGGGTCCCTGGGTATCTCTTGGAGCCGTTCCCCACCTGCCCCCAGCCTCTACTGTGCACCCTGCTGCCCCCCAGGGTCTGCCCACCCCTACGCCAAGCAACCCCACCCAGACTGAGAGGCAGAGCCCTAAGCCTCGGAAAGGTAGAGCCCGGTGCCAGGAGCCTGCTGGGCGAGTCACGGCAGCGGAAGAGGGGCCTGGCCCGCAGCTCCGAGGCGCCCTGGGCCAGGTAGTGACCGCTCGCCTATTTCCGGACTGCCTGGAGGACACGCCCCCTCTCCTCCAGGGCCGGCCTCCACCCCAGCCTGACTCTCCAGAAGTCAAGGCCACACACTCTCAAACCAATATTAGGCCGGGTCGCGCAGAGGTCACGCCCCCTCTCTCTAATTCAGAGTTTCCGCAGACGGAGACCCCACGGGGTGGGTCTAAGGCCCGGTATCAGAATGCCAAGGCCACGCCTCCTGCAGCGAGGGCAGTGCTTTGCAAGGACAAAGACAATCTCTCAGCTGAAGTCAGGCACCCTCAGCCCAAGGTGCGTCCCCCTCCAGCTGAAGAGGCGTCCCTAAGCGTCAAGGCCCCATCCCCTCTGTTCAAGGCGGGGTCTCTAGAGGCGGTGGTCACGCCCCCTCTCGCTGCTGACCATGACCCCGCAGAAGACCTGCTTTCCCAGGCCGCTCGGCTTCTGCAGGCTGCTGAAGGTGAGCTGATGCACGTGGCTGCCCTGATCTGGATGGTAGTCCAGCACCCTACGAGGCCGGCCCCCTGGAGCTCGCTCTTTACCCTCCAGACTCCGACGGCAGCGAGTTCCAGGAGGACCCTGTACTGCAGATGTTAAGGGCTCAGAGGGCGGAGCTGCGGCGGCAGAAAAGGTGACTATCTCCATGACTTATTACAACGGGCCCCTTAATCATTGGAGACCCCCACATTGGGTGCCTACCTCTCTTGAACCCCTTTCCCAGAAACGTCCAAAGCCCCAGATCCCGATCCTGGTCACATACCTCAGCCTCTACCACCTGGCTTTTTTCCAGGAAAGTGGACGCCCAGTTATCCCTCCTGCTGGGCCATACTGAAGACCCAGGGTCTTGGTCTCCTCCAGACAGGTTGCCTCCCAGGTCTCCAAGAATGCGACTGAGGAGGGAAGGAGCCTCGCTTGAGGCCAGACGACTTTGAATTGTACAAATTCTGTTTTTCCCAATGAAATATTTTTTTCAGGTTACTGGTTGTCTCTGAGAAAGGAGTTGTTCTGGAAAGGCCAAGAGTCATGCTAAATTAGGGAAATGGCTGCCCCCCAACCCCCACCCTCCTTCCTGTCTGTTGATGCAAAATCTGCTCTGGTTTCATCTTCTTTGAGGGCAAGGAAAGGGAGGGGTTCCAGGTAAGACTTCAGGCAAGACTGGGCCTTCCCTTAACTTAGGAGTAGATTCTCCTGTCTGAGGGAGTCAGAAGGGACAGCCCTCTGGGCATGTAGCTAATGGGGTCATCAGAGCATTGGACAATGGTTAGTCCTCAGTCCATATCCTGCTTGAGCCAGCAGCAGCATTTGGTACATTGATGCCTCCCTCTTTGAAGCATGTCCTTACCCTGCTTCCAGCACCCCGCCCTGCTCCTCACCAGCCTGTCACTTGGTGTGTCCCAGGGCTCTGGCCTTGACTTCTCTATCTACACTCATTCCTTGGTGCTGTTGTCTAGTTTCATGGCTCTAAATCCCATCTCTGTTCTGTTAGTCCCCAAATTTCTATCTTCAGCCTAGACCTGGCCACTGAACCTCAGGCTCCTATATCCTGCTACCTGCTTACCATCCTCACTTAAAAGTCTAAGAGAGGGCCAGCCGAGTGGCACATTGGTTAAGAGATGGCTTGGGACGCCAGAGGGCCCCGGTTCGGATCCCACATATGAGGGCCAGTGACACTGCCCTCCACAGCTAAGATGCTGAACAACAGCTCAACCTGGAGCTGGGCTGCAGTGAGTCGCCGGCGATGGCATAGGTTGCAGCCCGTGCTGCGGTGGGCTACCATGGGCTACTGTATGTAGCCAGCAGCCAGCATGAGCAGCCAGCAGCTGCAGTGAGCGGCCGTCCAGAAGCCAGCGACTGATCTGCCTCGTCCGGGAAGAGCGCAATGATGGTGCCAACTTGGGCCGGTGAAGCGACATCCTCCACAACTAGACTGAAGAACAAAACGACAGCAACTTGTCTGTTCCCCTTCCCCCAATTCCCCAGCGCTGTCCCCATCACCCAATTCCCCAATAAAAATCTTTGAAAAAATAAGATCCAGGGCCAGCCGAGTGGCAGGTTGGGAAAAAAAAAAGTCTAAGACATGTCTCAAACTGCACAGGTCTTAAACTGAGCTCCCAATCTTCCCCCTAAACCTGGTCCTCCCAAGCTTTCCTCTGCTTAATCCTTCTACCAGCTCAGTTCAAATGCCTCATAGTCACTCCTGACCCCTCTCTTTTTTCCTCACACCCACAGTCAGTTGACCAGCAAGTCCTATCATCGCTACCTTTAAAAGCACTTGTAAAAATTCAGTGAAATTTGCCAATTTCATTGTACATAAAGCTTACCTCAAAAGAAAAATCAATATTGAACTCTAATTAAAGATATGCATGCTAAAGTATTTAGGGGACAGTATACCAGTGTCTGTGATTTATTTTGAAACATATCTAAAAATTAAGTTAGTGGATGAATAGAGTAGCAGGTGGATGTGAGATAAAGCAAATGTAGTAAAATGTTAATGGTAAGTAAGATCTAAGTGGTGGATATACGGGTGTTCATTGTAAATTGTTCAACTTTGCTGTGGGTTAGAAACTTTTCATAATAAAACGTTGGAGAATATATAATCAGGGTTATTTTGATATCTGTATTTATAAAAATGGGAGGATGGAATAGATTTCTTTAAAAAGTAGCTTCTGTATGACACAGACATGGTAAATATTTGTTTTCAGGCTTTTTGAACAAACCATACATTTAAATGAAACCAACAAGAAGGAAATAGATGTTTAGCTATAAAGAGAAATAAAAGAACCTGACCTAATTGAGGGGTGAGTAGGGCCTAAAAGGATCCCCAAGGAAGTTACATTTAAACTGAGACAGGTAGGAATTAACTAGTTGACAAAGGGCCATCCCAATTACTATTGCTGGGTTATAAGCCACCCCCAAAACTCAGTGGCATAAAACAATCATTTTATTATGCTTATGGATTCTGTGAGTCAGAAATTTGGACAGGACACAGTTCGGGACAATTTGTCTCTGATTCATGGTGTCTAGGGATTCAACTGGGAAGACTCAAAGGTGACTCAGCAGCTGGGCATGGACTCGGGCTTCTTTACACACAAGTCTGGCACCAGGGCTCAGATGACGAGCTGGAACTATGGATTACAGTGCCTACACATGATTTTCATGTGACTTGAGCTTTCTCAGAGCATGACTACCTCAGCATAGTTGCATTTCTTACATGATGCCTCAACAACTCTTAGACCTAGTCATTCCAGTAGACAAGAAGGAAGCTGCATTGCCTTTTACTACCTAGCCTTGGAAATCCTATAGTGTCCATTCCACTATTATCTATGGGTTGACGTCACAATCTTGCTCAGATTCAAAGGGGAGGGAACATCGACTCCACCTTTTCATGAGAGGAGTGCCAAAAAATTTGTAGCCACCACAGAAGTTGAAGGGGTGGGGGGTGGGGGGTATACTCCAGGTAGAGGGAGAGGAAACATGCGGGAAATACCTATGTTGGGAGTGAGGTCTGCAAGTTCAATAAATCAAAATCAGTAACTAAACTGACCCCCAGCACTCCCCTTCCCCAATCTCTGCTTAATTTTTATCCATTGAACTTAATCACCTTCTAATATTGCATATTTAAAAATATTTATTTCATTGTTTTCTCCCGTTAGCTTTTGAGTTCCATGTGGGCAGGGTATATTTCCCCTATTTTGGTTACTGATGTATCCACAAATTAAGTGATCAGAGTTTTTGAATGCATGGATCAAAGATGTACTTTCTAAGGTGAGAGCCTTGTTGAGGGCATGACCAATGGGAGAGTCCCCTTGGAAACGGCGTTGTTACACAGTGTTTTCTGAGCCTGGCTCAGTCAGCGATGGGAATGATTGGGACTGGCCTTATGGGAGGCATGGTCATGTTCTGGCATTGTGGGCTAAACTCATTCCTAGGAAAAAGGAGTCAAGGCTGGGGCCTGTACTAGACAGTAGAGAAGGCAAGGAAAATATCCCTTGGGTAGGGCGAGGCCAAGTTGCAGAGGACCTAGCGTTATGTTCCAGGCAAGGCATCTGAGCCAGTGGAAACTGTCTATCGACGAATGTCAGTTTTCTGTGGGCAGGGCCAGGGTCAGGACTGACAAAGTGGGGCTAGAGGATTGAGACGCTGAAAAGCTGCATGGGGATGCATGCAGAAAAGCCCTGGGCTCATGGGAGGATCTAATTAGGAGCGGTCAGAGGAGCGGTCACTGAGAATAGACTAAGGGGAGGGCCCATTGCTTAGTGTTAGAAGTATTAGAAGCAAATCATAAAAAAATGGGGAGTGTGTCTCAGGAGGGGAATAACAGCCAATGAAAAACAGTCATGGGCGCGGCGCTGTCAAACTTCTCGGGGCGGGACCGAAGAGACCGAGCCAGGGTTGGGACCCAAGCAGAAGCCAATAAAAAGCTGCCAGGTGGGCGGGGCATCTTCCTGAGGCCAAGAGTGGAGCCAATGAAAAGCGGCGCCGCGTCCCCACTGCCCCCGCCACCTTGGGGCGCGCGCCTGAGCCACCGGCAGCCGTTAGGGGCGGAGCCTGCAGCCGCCAGCGCGCGGCTCGCGCCCTCCCCTTTGTGTCGCCATGGCGGCGGCATCGGCGACGAGGACGACGATCGAGGAGTCCAGCGCGGCCAGCGCCTGAGGAGGCCACGCGACCATGGTGGTGAGGGGCCCACGCGGCCGTCAGTCCGTCCGCGTGGCAGTATGTCCGTGCGCGGCCCCGCCCCACGCGCCCCGCCCCCGGCCCCGCCCGAGCCCGAGGCCTGCGCCGCCCCTCACCCCTTGTCGCGGTCCGCCTTGTACCCCGGCCCGATTCCAGGGCCCTTGCCCTTACCCCGGCCCCGCCCTCTCAGCGTGCGTCCCTTTCCACGCCCTGGATGGGGGTGACAGTGGCCGAAGACTTGGACTTGGGAGGAGGAGGGGCTGGTCCAGAGAAGGAACCAGCATCCCTTAAGTGGCCCCTGCAGGGGCCTGCTGATGCTCTCTGGGTCCTCGCCAGCCCCCATCCCAGAGCCATCCTCAGCGTCCTCACCCCAACCTCCACCCTTTCTTGGCCTAGCCCCCTCCTCCTCCTGCCACCATCCCCTTTCTCATTCTCAAGCCCCACCCCCACTCAGCTCCATCCTCAGCCTGACCCTTTTCTTCTCCTCATCATTCTCACCCCATCCCAGTCCCTCTCAACCAACCCTCCGCTACCCCACATCATCCTGAACCTTTACCTCAGCCTCTTCAGCTGCTCCCCTCCCCCTTACTCCACCCCAGCCCGAAACCCAAACTGTACCTCCCGCTTGATCCTTGGGTTCTCCCCATCTTCTTGTCCTCATCCTCCCCCACCACCGTGTCCCTCTCCCACCATGCTGCTTCTGCTCATTCATCCATTCATTCCCTCATTTGCTCGCTTAACAGACATTCACCGAGACCTCTTTGCAGACCCTATGCTCCAGGCACTGAGAGAGTCCGATCCCATCCTGCCTTGGGGAGCATGAGCTGGAGGGGTGACAGACCGGAGGATGAGACCCAAGGATGTACTTGGGGTTGCAGGGATATAAAGGAGGAAGAAGCTAGAGCCCAGTCTGGGGAGTCCCCATCTGGTAGCTGGTTAATTTATTCATCAGATTTTACCAGGCCCTGCTGTGCAACTGGGCTGACAGTGGGCATTGGGACCCAGTGAGGAATCAGGCACAACCATACTTGTGAGAAGTACCAATTCTGTGCCCACCTTTGTGCGGGACCATGCTGGGGATCTGGGGGCTCAGCTCCAGGCCCTGATTCTAGAGAGATCACGGTCCAGTGTAGGAGATGAACGTGTCACCAGACAGTGACATCTCAGAGTGCTGTGATGTAGGAAGCCCAGGCATAGTTGTCAAACCTGGGATGGGGGAACCTCAGGGGATGGGGAATCAGGAATAGGTGCCTGACACAACCTGAAGGGTCAGGGAGGACTTTGGAGAGGAGAAAACATGAGAGTTGAGACCTGAGGGATGCGGAGAAGTGAACCTAGTGAAAGAATGAGGAAGAGTGTTCCATGCAGAGAGAACAGCCTTTGCAAAGGCCTAGAAGGAAATGAGAAGATGGTGCTTTTGTTGGACTCTTAGAAATTTGAGAACTCTGAAAGTGGAGGCAATGGGGAGAGATGAGAATGGAGAGGTAAACAGAGATCTGAGAATTCAGACTTTATCTTGAAGACAACAGGGAGCCATTGAAGGTTCATGATCAATGGAGAGACAGAGGCAGATTTGTGTTGTGTGAAATTATACTGGCGCTTGCTGTGAAGAAGCCAGCAGGAGGGTAGAGGTTGGAAGCAGGAAAGCCGATAAAATGGGAGTTGTGGTTGTCCAGACATAAATGAGAGATGTGGAGAGGCACAATCGGCAGATGACTATGTACTCCAGGGGCTACAGGAGGGGTTTAAACCTGGAGAGATGGTACCAGCATGCTCTCTCCCTGCCTCACCCTCTGCCCCAGCTCTTCCAGTTCCCCACCCGTCCACGCAGGAAGAAGAAGGCCTATCCTCAGCCCGGCCTTCACCTCCCCCTGACCTACCCTGCTACTCCATGCTAATGGCAGTGTGTGGAGTGATTCAGGCCTCTAGGCCCAGGCTGGCAAATAACAATGCTCCCCTTGTCTCTCTGCTCCCATCCC